ACAGCCACTGTTCACTGCTATGGGCAGGTGCCTCCTGTCCCTCTTCCTGTCCCTCTTCCCGTCTGTCAGTTGAGCTCCTCTTCCTGTCCCCATCCACCTGGAGCTTGAGAGGCTCAGGTTCAAAGAGAGTGAGGGAAGGTTGAAGCACTTTCCTAGAATTTTGGCCCCACATCCTAGGTAACTCTGGACCTCTGAGCCATTGTGCTTTTACTGCTTTAGCTCCCGTCTCCAAGTCCCGTTGATACGATTTATCTGAGGCCTCTCCCTGAGGTCCCTGGTGGAATACTTCAACCTGATGTTTTCTCATCACTCTCCTCTCTCCTTTCCCCTCCTGTATCTTCCCCTCCTCCACGATGGCCCTGAATTTCACAGCTCCAGGAGGTGAAGCAGTGTCCTGGGTCCCCATCCCATCTGTCAGGGTTTTTGGAATCAGGGCCTCCCCCACCTCGACGGTATGGGGTGTGAGGTGCTTTACCCAGGAGCACCTCTTCCCCTGCTTGAATTTAATTTCTCCTTGAGGTTAATGGTGCTAACAGTTTATGAGAGGATGCCTTATCCCTTTTGTCTGATCAAACTTGGCAGACAGAAGCCAGAATTTCCATCTCTCTCACGCTGAGTGCCAGTCACATGGCCCCACCTCTAAATAAGTTTCTTTCAAGAATGACCTTCCTGATTCCTTTGTGGAAACAAGTGCAACACAAAACAACTCTTTATTTAAACTACAACCTCCCTGTCCAGGTCTGCTAACTTGTGGGAATGAGGTATTTCTGATTCTGCCCTTGCAGAATTAAACTGGGCTTTATGTAAACCCAGAAGCTAACTCACAAATAATCCTTCAAATTAAAAAGATAAAAGTTATCAGTTTCCTCCATACATCCAGTTTATTGTCAGTTAAACTCTATTTTCTGCTGTGGTTTGAACACCTCACAACTTGGAAAGGCTCTCTCCTGAGACTGTCTTGGGAACAGGCTGTTGCTTCATAATTAGGTAAGCACACAGGGCTTGCTGCTATGAGGAAGGCTTGGGCTTGAGCTCAAGAAGAAGCCCTGCCCAGCGGCCCCACCAGGGTGGCCAAAGTTGCATCCACCATGCAGCTGGGAGAGGTCTTCAGGGGCTGGCACTCGTCTCTAGAGAAGGCCAACCCCAAAGGGCAGCCCTCCTGGTTAGAGCATCTTATATGCTATGCCACTGACTTCACATTTTCACAGGACAGTGGCACCTCTGGAGTAAATCCAGTCCCCACAATGCAGTTTGGCATTTGTTTCTGATTCTGTCTGCAAACCCTGCACATCCTCATCTTTATTCTGCTTCCTATGGCTTCCACCAGTGCCCGCAGTGGGCCTGTGGGCAGTGAGGGGGAAGAACCAAAGAGAGAAGTGATGGTGAAGGCCTTTCTAAACATGGAGGCCTGGTGTTGTGCTCCTTGATGGGCCCTACATGTTTGTGAGTGGGCGAGCCTTGTCTTGGGGTGCTCACTGTGCCATCCACACAGGGCTGATCCGTGAGAAACTGTGAAAGGAGCCAGTTTCTGGCCCTGCCTCTATAGCCAGACTGTCTAGGTTAGAGGCTCTGCCTACTGGTTGTGTGACCTTGGATGAGGTATTTGACCTCTCTTCAGTTTTCTCATCTGCAAAGTGGCAATGTCAGTACGCCCCTTGTGTGGTTGCTGAGGTTGAAAACACAACAATGCCTGTAAAGGGCTTTCACCACAGTGTATAGAATCCAGAAGACACTCAAAAAAGGCCACTTAGAATTCTACACAACAGTTCTGAGCTTTACAAATGGTTCACAGAAAAAGACCCATGAGAAGCAAGGCCTACCCTCACGCTGCCCACCTATAGGACCGCTTAAAATTTAGATTTTATGAAGCTTCGATTTATCTATCACTTTAGAGGAACACTGCTTAGTAGGACCTGTTATAATTGCTTTTACTTATTAAAAGAAGAATGTTCTCCAGAGACTAGGGAAGGACTCCATACCCTGAATAAGGGCTCCTAAGATGTCACCCCCCTATGTGTCTGCTGGAGTCTGGGTTTCTGCTTTCAGGGCAGGATGGTATCTCAGGGGCATGGCCACATATACCCCAGGAGCTCCAGCTGTGGTCCTGAGAAGTAGGAACTACAAACTTCTATACATGTATTTCTTTTACACTCCTATCCACCCCCATCCTCCTCTGCCAAGTCCTTTAAGTCAGTTAGGCAGAAATTTCTGGTGGTAACTGGAGAGGCAATGTTAAAACTATTAAAGAATCGGGCAAAAGCAACATATGGTGCTACAAGTCAGAAAAGTGGTCATCTTGGTGATGGATGAGGGGGTTATTGACTGCATAGGCATGAGGGAACTTTCGGGGGGGGGGTGTGGAAAGCCTCCATTTCTTCATCTGGCTGCTGGTTGCAAGGTATGCACATATACACAAAATCATATCAAGCTGTACATTTTGATCTGTGCCTTCTGCTGTCTGCTGTTATACCTCAGTGAGCAATATTACTGTCCAAAATGCAGGCAGGACCTGATACCAGCAGTTCCCCTGCCTCATATTATGCCTGACCCACTTTATTCTGGAGACACTGCAAGTTCTAAGTGTCTGCAGCCATCACACCTCTTCATCTTCCTCCACGGGTGTGTTTATACCCACAGGTTATATTTATATCTGCAGCCCCATCTATATATTTCAATCTGGAGAGGAGAGAAGAGTGTTATATGTGCATGTCTATATATAGGGTGGTTTGTTTCTTTCAAAGAACAAGAGAATTCTAGCTCTTTTTTTTATTTTTTGAGCAGGACACTCCTCTACACATGTGCACTAACCTTCGGGGACTGGTCAACAGCCTTGCCTTTTTCCCTTGTCTGAGATGAGACGCTAAGACTGACCTTGATGACAACCGTGGGGATTGTCAGCACAGTGGTCTTCTGCTTGGCCAGGACATCCTTGGTCTCATTGATGCGAGCTGTAACAAAGAAGTGCAGGGACGCTTGTTCCAGCAGCTGGCCCATGTACTCGCCGGCTAGGATCGGGACCTCCTCTTTCTTGACTGGCAGGAAGAAAAACAAACAGGCCCAGAATCAAGACCAAGACAGGGTCTGTTTTACTCTCGCCCAAGATTGCCCGTCCTTCCTACGTTAACCCAAAGGCCACCAGGAGCGCAGCAGAGGTGAGGGGCACATGGAGCGATTTGGAGATGAGCTCTCCTGTTTCTAGTGCAAAGAGGGCGTGGCACATTTAATATTCAGCAGAGTCTTACAGAGAAAATGTGCTGGACTTTCTAAACAGTGCTTTTGCTGTTATAAAAGGCAAGCCATGGCAGAGATATTTCAAATGGTGGACCAAGGGGTTTTTAACTGTGGCTTTGATTTAGGTGGGAGTAGTCACCTAAAGACAGGCACAAATGGCACCTGCGGGGTGTTAAAGTATCAAGACCACAATTTCACATGTCATCCCTTTATGGAAAAGGAAACATCTCTCCCAGGCCATGGGCCACATTTGGGCAAAACTCAGTTATCTAAACCGTGTCTTTGTAGCACTCCACGTTTTCTCTCCAGCTTTTTGTACCAACCTGATATCATGATTTTTGTATTTAAGAGAAGGAAGTTGTCGGAAACAGTCCCCATCAAAGGCACTCAGCTATCCCCAAGTCCCTCCTCTACTGGTAATTTAGAAGATCTCTATGCCAAAAGTGTGTTTCCTTAAGACAAGCCAGTGAGGGTGGCATTAGGATGGCTCCCCTTCCATCTCCATCTGGGCTGAGGATGGTGAATTCCAGCTTGTGGCTCTGGCCCACTTTTTCTATCACTCCTATTCCCCACATCGCAGGACTCTAGAGAGCAAAGGACAATTTTTCTGCAACAAGCCCAAGTGTGGCACCCACTGCTACCTGGTCAGAGCCAGGTGCCTGTGCTAAACCCACAGCTGGCAGGTCAGCCAGCAGGTGCATGGGTGACTCACGCACCCATGAGGGACACAGCAAATAGACTGTGAATGCTCACAGAACTGAGCATCTCCACTGCTGCCCTGCCCAGTGTCTGGCTATTAGTGAAAGAAACAGTTCTGGCCAATAGTCTCAGTTCAGAGGATGGTTGACTTTAGCCCACTGTACTGGGCAGGAGTCTGTAAGGAGGATGGAGTGCTGCCTGTGGTCAAAGGTGAGTGTGTAAGGAGTTGTGCCCATCCTCCGTGAGTGGACACTTGCACCTTGACTGGATCTGCAGCATTTTCTCAAGACCTTGAAGACCAAAGAGGCTGGGAAGGTGTCTGCCATGGGCAGTGCCTCAAGTTGCTGTGCCTGTCTTTACAGACGTGCAGGTGCTGTGCCTGTCTCCAGCCTTCAGACTGAAGAGTTCTCAGTCTTGGCAACTCAGCATAATCACTGGGGACTCTCAAAAACCTGCCAGGTGGTATCCCACTTCCAATCAATTAAATTGGAACCTTGGAGGTTGGGGCCAACCAGCAGTTTTTAAAAAGTTTCTCAGCTGAGGGTGGTGCCTGTGGCTCAAAGGAGTAGAGCACTGGCCCCATATGCCGGAGGTGGTGGGTTCAAACCCAGCCCTGGCCAAAAACTGCCCCCCCCCCCGAAAAAAAGCTTCTCAGCTGACTCTGATGGAGAGCTAGGGGTGGGTAGGCTGGCTCTAACCACCCAGGTGGTTCTCCCCACAGCCTGTGGAAAGCCTCAGTTCTGGAGGAAGGAAGTCTCCAGTCTATGCCCCCTCTTGCTCCTGGTGCCATCTGTAGACCTGCAGCACCACAGCAGCTGGAGGACTAGACATGCAGCTTCTCCGACCTCTCCTTGCATCAGGAATCAGGATCTGTATATGGATACGATCCTGGAGGATGCCTGCTGCCGTGTGAGCAGCTCTGAGGGACAGGAGGGTCTAACAATATGAGGGGTGAAGTTAGGGAAGAATTAGGGTGGACTTAGGATGGTTGGGGTCCTGTATCCCTGGGACCCTATCAATCCCTGGCAAACTGGAAAGGTAGGTCATCCTAGAATAGTGGTTGTCAGTGGAGGGCAATTTTGTGCCCTCCCACCCCTGGGATGTTTGGCAATGTGCTGAGACTGAGAATCCCCACCCTGGGCCATGCAGATTATTAGTGGGTATTGGTCCATCTTAGGCAAGCACTCAACAACTGGCTTAGTGTTATTCCACTTAGAGCCAGCTCTGCCTTTTCACATGACCCACTCATATTGTTGTTTTAGGTTCTGAGCCTGGACCCTGCTTCCTCGATGGCTACTCTAGTAATTAATTATCCAGATGAGGGAGGTTCTGGCTCTCCCATGGATACAACCTCAGATGAACACATATGGCTGGATTTTCATGTCCCCAGATCTGGATGGATAGAGTCACAAAGTGGCAGGCCTTGAGGAACACACATTTTTCCTCTTGATGCCTCCAGTAATAATTTTTTAAAAATCACTTTGCTATTTCTAGATGGCTGTGTTTGAGCACTCGGTCTCTTTAGGTTGGTGGGGTGTGCCTGACTTCTCCACAGAGGTTCTTGCTGCCTTTGTGTTCTTGGCATCAGGACCCCTTTCTTCCCCAAGGTAGAACACTCCCTAAATCACAGCACTAAAGAAACCGGGCTGTGTTTCAGAGCCCAAGAGAACAGTGTTCCTGAAATAGAATGTTATGTAAGAGCTGTGTTTTGCCACTGCACAAGAAATTGTTCTAGATAAAGTTTATTAAACGTGGCAAGGGAAAGAGGAATAGATTTTCACTCTATGCGCGGGGGGCTGGGATGCTGCCAGTATCGTTTACGGTGTCTGGGGAAAGCCAAGGGAGACACAGACTGGAGCTGCCTCATCTCTTTTCCAAAAAGAAGAGAAAACTAAATATAGCCAAGTGGAAACGATAGCACCTTTGAAGGTACTGAGAGATTTAAGTTATTCAGATTTTTCCAAGCTGATTCTAGCACCCACATTCCCTTTAATCATCAATCTGGAAAGTATGCCTCCCATTTTGCTTGGAAAACTTTCTTTGCAATTGAGGCATCTAAGAATGCTTGATCGAGGTCTAGAATTATGTGTGTTTTTTCTGCAATATTCTTCAATTTATCCTAGATTGCATTATACAATTTTATTGCACATAGTTAATGCCACCTACCTGCAGGACAGAAGAACAAAGAGTCTCCAGTTCCCTTCAAGTTATTCAGGACAATCCCTCAGGTTGGCTAAGTGGGTGGGAACTGTGTTCCTACTGACTCAAGTGTTGGTCAAGTGGCCTTAGATCAATGACTGAGCTGATGATAAACTTTCTCTTCTAGCCCACTCACTCATACAAGCTCCTTCTTTAGTTGGAGGAGAGAAAGAAGAGGAAGGAGATGGAGAGACAAAAATCCTGTGAAAAGGGAAAAGGGCTGACCCTTAGTGCCCTGTCTAAGGATCTGTGCTGGACTGCAGGTACAATGAGGACACAGAGAAGGTAACTGGTCCACCTGGGGTGACGGTTGTCCTGAACTGGCTCATCATCATTGCCTGAATGGGATTTGGGTTCTAGTATCTGCTCTGTGTCTAATTACTGTATATGGCCTTGAACATATCAACTCATATTTCAAGCCTCAGTTTCCCCCAATATAAACATGTTGGAAGTTACCATTTACTGAAGGCCTGCCCCATGTGCAAAGCATTTCATATATATTATCTCTTTTGGTTTTCTCCACACCCTTTTCCGTGTCTAATGCATCAGCTGCTCAGGTGGATTTTACCTTCAGAACATACCCAGATTTGACCATTTCTCACTACTCCCCTCACTGCCACCACCACCTCTTGGCTGAAGGATTGCAAAAGCATCCTTGCTGGTGTTTAATTTTCAGGCCTTTTCCCCTTTAGTCTCTTCTTAACATATCAGCTGGAATGCTCTTTCAAACCTAAGTTAGATCATGCCCTAAACCCTTTAATGGCTGTGCAGCTCATTTAAAATCAAGGCCCAAGTCCTTATGAGGGCCTGCAGTTCTCTACAATACAGTCTGCACCCACCACTTTCCCCCTTGCACGTTTGCTTTCCATCATAGTGCCTCCCTGCTCCTGGGACACATTAGACATGCTCTGGCCCCAGGACATTTTAACATGTGGTTTCTTCTGGATGGAATGCTTACGTGCTCCCTTCTGTCAGGTTTCTGTTAAATGTCACTCTATTTGAGAGGTTTCCTTGATTACCCCACCTCCACCAACACCTTCTGTCCTCCTTAACCTAGCATTTGTCTATTACCCATATAACCATACTATATCTTCACTTGTTTGATTACTTATTGTTTGGTTCCCCCCCAAGGGACCAGAAACTTCGTAAGGGTAAGGCATTATCTCCAGTGCAAAACAGACTTGCAAGCACTAAATAAAGGTTCAGGGAGACGAATCCTGTGATGTGGGTGGTATTGTTCCCCTTTACAGATGAGGCGAGAGAATTTAGACTGTTTAAGTACCTTGTCCTGGGAAACTTAGCTGGTAGGTGACACAGTCATCCCTCACTACAGAGTCATGTGATTGAAAGCCTGGACTCTCTGAATCACATGTGGCCGCCCACTCCAAGCCACCATGACGTCCTCTTCAGTCCCTTTCCCGGACTCTTCTTTTCTATGGAAACTATCTTTTCTACTCCTAGGCAGAGGAAAACTGTCCAATCTTGCAGTTTGGAAAGAAAATACCACAGTGATTTGTTAATTGTTACTTGAAGTATTAAAGCCAGGGAGATTCACTTCCTTCCAGTTTGAGTAAGTTTCTTAGAATTTGAATTTTTAGGAATACTTTCTCACTTTTCTAAAAATATTTTCTGAAGCTTTAGCAAGTACTGTGGGCTCTAACAGTCACCAGGGCCGGAGAGGTCGAGAACAATTGAGACATGTGGTTTGGTCAGCTAGGGGGTCACATTACTTTTGCTTGGCTCTTGTGAAAATTACTAGAATATCTTTTTGCTCCCTTTTCTTCTCCTTTTCTTAAAGGGCCACATGTCAGGTCAATGGAAACTGGAGCCCTGAGCCTGCAAGTCCTTTCAAAGTTCTCTTTCTAACTTGACACACCCGGCCTGGAGACTAGCTTCTTCCCATTGTCTCATTTTCCCAATCATGTGGCCAACTGTTGCACCCACCAAATGCTAGCACCCCAGGGAATGAGACTGGCTGAAATCATGATCCCCAATGTAAACTGCGGCATGTGAATATCAACCTGCTTAAAATATTCTGAGTTTTTATAGTGATGGCGGACGTGTGCACAGGATGAGGAGGAAGCCCCGTGAGACGTGGCAGAGAACGAAGCCCTCCAGAGACCCCCAGATGGCACATCCTCAAGGATGGGCTCTCTCCCTGGAAATCACGCAGAACATTTTCAAGAAATAATTTGCATGCAGACCTTAGATTGCTCAGTCTTCTAGATGGCAAACAAAGCTCACCATTCCTTTTGGACAGCCCCCAAAGGACATTCTTAAATTGAGAGAGGGGCACAACTAGAGAGCCTGTTTTCTGAGATGAGTCATTTAGATGTGTTATTTATAAACTTTTCTGTATACTCCACTCCCCTTGGGATCTTGTCAAAATGTGGATTTTGATTCTGGAGGTCTGGGGTGGGGCCTGAGATCCTGCATTTCTAACACACTCCTGGTCCACAGACCACACTTTGAGTAGTAAGATGTTAAGTTACACTTAATTCTCAGGACTCACAGGCCTCTCTCCAGGCTTTGAAAATTTTGGCATTCACTTCTACACATCAGAAGTAAAGATGAAAGCTGAGACTCGTCTGGAATAGAGGGTTCGTGCTCCTGAGCTCTGGGAGATAACTTTAACTTGTACAGAAAGCCATTCCCGGCTGTCACCACCTAGCAAGGCACGGAGCCAGAGTACGAGTCCTGGAGAGAACACACCCTCATTAGCTTACAGGACAAGGGCTGCAGCGTCACAGTGAACGTCTCCTTCTTGAACTCCTCCTTTGAGACCCCGGTGTAGAAGACGATGTTGCCTGAGAGATAGGCTGAGATGGTGTAACGGTTGGGGCTGTTGTTCTGGAAGGTAATGGTGAGCTTGAAGTCTTTTCCCAGCACAGCATTTTCCACTTCAAAGTCCATGTCTACGTCAGACCTGGATTTGACGACACCTTCTGTGTTGAGAGGCTTTTTAGCTCCATACATCAGGGCAGTTTCTAGGGCCAATCTCTCTTCTTCTTGACCTAGAAGAGATCCAGAGATAATAACTGGGAAAAAGAATTAGAGTCCACCAAAGAGCAAGTTATATGAATAGACACACTGAGTACTGTACTCCATGGAATGTCTCCATAAGCCTCGCCACCTCTCTGGGAGGCAGATGGCCATCATTATTCCTCTGTTAAATTCTGCAAAGTCAGATTCCCAGAGAACAGGTAACCTGTCTAGGTTGCCGAGTCTGTCGTTGCAGTGCCCTATCTAGAAAAACGGTATGCTAACAGATGTTTCTCCAGTGCGACTATTTCAGGGTTCAGCAGATAAAATTGGCTAAATCTAACTCTTCTCAAACTTCTATGTGAATTTTCTTCCCTTCTTGAGTCCTGGCCATGGGGCAAGGACTTGGAGACTTTTCAACATCCATTGTGGAAATTATTGCCCCTTGCTATTCTGCTACTTGCAATGTAAATCCTCTCCCGTTTGTGCATTTCCAACGAAACTGTCTTCCCCATCCCTTCTTCCACCTGGGCCTGTCCCACTTGCTCTTTGCTGAGCTGAGCTGGCCCTGCCCTTCCCCGCCAACCTCCCACCCCATGCAGAGATTGCAAACCATGAGTGGCCCCAGGACACGGGGGTCTGGCAAGATGTTAACAGACCTCCCATGTCCCAGGGCTCTCAGGGCAGCTGTCCAGAGCCCCTGTTGGTTCTCCAGCTCCATTAGCCTGTCAGAGGTTCTGAGATGAAGCCATACAGCAAGGAAACCTGTTTACTTTTCTTTAACAGAAGGTCTCCCAAACTCATCTAACACCTTATGCAGTTTTTTAAGGGCTATCTATTGGCTTGTGGCGGTGCACCAAAGATCTAGAACCATCTGAGGTGTGTGTGCTATCTTGAGGAAAGTGTCTTGTGTAGGGTTTCTGAGGTGGTCATGATGGGGGTGAAGGGTGGGGAGAAGGAGAAGGAGCTCTAGAAGATTAAAAAAAAAGTAGCCCTGTGTGGAGCTAGGAAGCAGGGAACACAGATAACACATTAGGCTTTGGAGAGAGCTTATGCCTCCAATACTACAAGCAGGGATGGGGGTCCATACAGAGCTTTAGACAAAGCATCTGGCCTTGGGGACAGGGCTGGTGGAGGTGGAGAGGGGTGGTGGCCATTCTGTTTCTATCCTAAATACCTTTGGGTTATCTCTGTGCATTGTAGAGGACAGAGATAAAATTCTTTGGCTTGAAAAAAGAAAGAAAGAAAGAAAGAAAGAAATTCTTTGGCCTGTAAAAACTTTTCATGAGAATGGCTAGCAGGACAAAAAAATAACTTTAAAATAAGAATTCTGCTTTTTATAATTATGTTAATTTTAAAGTATTGTCTTCTATTTTACCTCATTAATGATGAAATGCAATGGCAATTAAGAGGCCAATTAATCACAATAACTACCACTGACTGCTAACTAAGAGCCAGGCCTTGGGATAAGTGCTTTTGTGAATTATCTCACTTAATCCTCATAACAATTCTACAAGGTAGGCACTGTTATTACCATCAGTTTCCTTGTTTGGAAAATAAGGGTCTCTATATCCTAGGGACACTAGATGGCTTACAGGTAATAGATGCATAATCTGAGGAAACGACTCTGCAAAGACAGAGAAAATGCCAGCAGATGTTGCGTACAAATGTGTGTGTGTGTGTGTATTAACAATTTCCCTGATTATCAGGACTGTAGGATGTACCCCAAACGACTAGCCTAGGATAAGCCTTGGCTAGAGAATGTGTTTATAGATCAACAGGAGGGAGAAAACACCGAAGGGAAGGAGAGGCAGGGGTGAGGAAAGTGTAGTGGAATATTTAGTGTAGTGGAATATTTTAGCAAAAATCATCTGGCAAATAGGTCTGTGAGAAAGAGAGCATTAACGATTATCACTTTGGATGGAGGCCAAATGTGCATTTAGGCACAATGCAGGAGGCAAATCCGAGCAGCAGGAATGTGATCAGAGAGGAGCTGCCTTTGGGGAGAGGTGCTGAGCCCGCCCAGGTGAGGGGAAAGGAGAGGGAGGTTTGAGGCAGCTCTGAGCAAGTGCATAGCATATGGCAGGTGGAGGAACCCTCAACTCCCCTCTGGGGAAGCGGCAGGGGCTGCTGCGGGAAGTGCAGGCCCAGAGAGGAGGAAAAAACTGCAGGGTTTTCCCAGAGCCTGGCAGAGTAATTCCTGTTTCTCTACAGTTATGCTCTGTGCTGTGATGTCTTACATAATTCAGGACCATGGGCACAATTTTAGAGCTATGAGAGATTTATCCAAAGCCAGATTTTATTTTCTAAGATTCTTCTGTAGGGATCTCCAGGCACAAAACATCTTCCCATTAACTAGGATGTAATAAGAGAGCCCTTTTATGTTGGATGAAGCCTCTTATTGTTCCGGCCTTAGATCCACTGTCACCTCCTTGGTCCTTCCTCACTTACCCTGTGTAATGTGTGCCCAAACCTTAATCCTCTCTTCTCTCACTGACATAGGCCTTTCCATTCCTCTTCCTTGTCTCAGCACTAATCACTGCGACATTCTCTCTTCCCCTGGAATGCAAGCTCCATAAGAACAGGGACGTGATCTGACTTGTCCACCTCTGTGTCCCCAAGGTCTGGGGGCATAGCCTGCCAAAAGGATCTGAAGGACAGGGGTTAGGAGAAGCAGTTTGCCTTCAGCCAGATGCAAAAACCTTTGTCTTTATTGCAGGCACTAAATAGTCTAGTGTAGGACAATTTATGTTCAGTTAAGCTCACCTGTGAAAGTGCCACCTCAGTGACAATCCATTTGGTCATTTCATGCTATTAGAGCTCCTATAATGTTCCAGGCACAGTGCTGGGCACAGATAAGAAACACAGCTATACTGAAGGAACAGATGAAAAATGATAGTAGTTCAGATTCACTCATCACAGGTGCTGGAACAGAGGTTGGCCAACGGTGCATGGGAAGATGAGGGGGTCAGGGAAAGCTTCTTGGAAGGTTTTTCCTACACAGTAAGGGTAAAGCCAGGGAGGCAGGTGAGAGCTTGGGTTGGAGGAACTGCCAGTGGCTCCCCTGGCAGCTGCAACAATAGCTGTGAAACATAGTCAGGAGATGCAGCCAGTGGGCCAAAAGCCAGCTAACACGAGGCCTTGTGAGTTAGGACTGGAATGCCCAGAGGCAACAGGAAGAGAGCGAGGGCTTATAAACAGCAGTGGGCAAAACAGGCTTGGGTTTATGTTGCAGATAATATCACTTTGGCTGCAAGGCAGGGCTTAGACTAAAGGAAGGGGAGGATGAGCAGGTAAGGTGGAATGGGGAAGCTAGAGAGGTATTTTTCTGGGAGAAAAACAATCACAGCCCAAACTAATGGTAACAGTACACAAAATGGCAGAATAATAGAACTACCAACAATAGTGAAAACTAACTTTTTTTTTTTTGAGACAAAGTCTTACTTTGTCACCCTTGGTCCCTCCAACTCTTGGGCTTAAGTGATACTCTTGTCTCATCCTCCCAAGTAGTTGGGACTACAGATGCCCTCCATAATGCCTGGCTATTTTTAGAGATCAGGTCTTGGTCTTGCTCAGGCTGGTCTTGAACTCCTGACTCAAGCAATGCACCTGCCTTGGTCTCTCAGAGTGCAGGATTATAGGTGTGAGACACTGAAAAGTAACTTTTACTGGACACATGCTATGTATCAGGCACTATGTTAAGATTTCATATACCTGATACTATTTCATTTGGGGGCAGTGATCCTGGAGCTGGAAGGGATGCATTTGATGGGACATTTAGAGGATTTTCTGTTTGGGTCACTTGAAACTTGATACATTTTGGTGGATGGTTCTCTTCACTAGGGGTTCTCTTTACTTATAGACCTGAGATGGGGAGGGAAGTAAGAAACATGGCATTTGGCAAGGTGGGACATTTAGGTAAAGTCTGGGCAGAGACAATCAGCTATGTGGGAAGGTCAGAAAGTAGGGGGGAAGGGTTAGGCCCTAGAATGAAGTAACATTCAGAGGGAAGTTATAGTTTCAGAAGAAGACAGGGAAAAGGGGTCAGGTGGGTGTGGGGGAACCAAGAGAAAGCCGCTCTGTGGAAACAAAGAGAAGGAAGAGAGGATTTCAAAAAGACGGAGTGAGAACAGCACCAGGAAGTGTAGGAAGGTCATGTAAAATGAGGTCTGTGAACCCTTATTCCAGGGACATTCAGGATGTTAGCAACCCTAAGCAGCAAAGCTTCCTATGCTGGTTGCAGGAATCAGGGCACAGGAAGGAGGAAGGTTGCAAGTCCAGTGGCCCTTTCAGGAGGTGAGGAGGAAGGTGTAATGGGGCATGTCTGGTAGGGAATAGAGTGTTGAAAAAGACTTTTGAAAAATTTTCTTTTAATGCAGGACTCACTTGCGGTCACTTCAATGCTCACTGGAAGGAGAAAAGCAAGAAAGAAGGAGAAAAATGCCCAGGACAGAGGAAGTGATTGATGGAGCACGGAGAGAATGAGACGGAGACACCATCGCCAAAGAAGATATATTGCCCCTGGAGAAGTTCTCAGAATGCTAGTTTTCAAAGTTTTATAGTGTCTTAATCATATATTTTGAAAAAAAGTATTAAAGTTAATATTAAGCTTTAGTAAGTTAGAAGTGAAAAATGATCTTTCCATGATTTAATTCATTATAGTATTTAATTCCTAAATCTAGTCATAATTTGCTCCCTATGATTTTACTCATCTTTGTATTTTAGTGTCTGTAGTCAGCATCTGTGGATCAGAGAAATTAACTGAGAGACTAACAGTGGGAATTAGGGTGGTAAGCGCACAGCCATGGTGGCAGATGCCATCCTCCGTCCCTCCCTCCCCCTGTATTCAGCATCTTCAGAACAGCGCTCCACTCAACCACTTCCAAAGTTATCTGAAATGCATATACCACATGGTTAAGGGATTAATTATCCACTAGGGATCAAACTCCAGCCCAGAGGTAGGGTGGGTTGTTTCCTATAACCATCTATATGGACTTAGGGGTTCTTCTGGCCTGACCAGACCCTACTTCTCTCTCCCTGAGTCTTGCCTCTGGCCTGAACCTCAGATGTCTTCCTCATGCAGAGTTGACACATTTTCTTTGTTTTAATATAGAGTTTATCCCTGGCCAAGCCACCAACTCCTGTTTCGTAGATCAGTTTTTGGTCTTACCTTTGTGGCCTCTCATACTGTCTTGTTTTTGATTTGGCCTTTGTGTCACCTTCAAGCTGACAGCTAATGGCAGCTCTGCTCTGTGGTTTCCACGAGGCATCTGGGCACGTGGACAGCTCTGTCACTCTGCTCCTGGCTGCCTATAGTCTCACCTTTGGTTCACTACACTGTCTGGTTAGGACGTCTTCCAAAATAAGAGAGTTCATACCACAGTCTTGCTACCATTACTCGAGCAATTTTTTCCCCAGTTTCACCTACCAATCCTCATTTATCCTTCGGGATGAGTGAGTCCATCACTAACTTCTTCCTCGAGGCCCTCCCTGACTGATGAGTCTGGGCTGGGAGTCCTTCCAGCCACCTGAGCCCTGCAGAACCTATTCACCCTGTGATAGAGCAGTTCTCACCCAGCATGGCCAGGGCCACTTATGCTTTTCTCTCTAGGCAGATGGGAAGGCAGGGCTGTGCATGCCTCTAAATCCACACAGCACTGGATGGGCCAGGTGGGAAGAGCAGCTGTTGAATGGATGCACATATAAATGAGTGAGTGCTGCAGCTAACTTTTCATATGAACTCTCCTTTCCCCTTGCTAACCTTTTTGCTTATAACTCTATAGTAAGAGGGCATTGCTTGTGTGTTTTGTTCTATCATGCTTATATTGTTTTTAATTTCTCTGTTAGGAAAAAGTCAAAAAGGGGAAAAAAAGTTTGCATCTACGTAGTGCAAAGGAAGAAAACCAACAGAAGAGGACAGAGAGCCATTTCAGGAATACAGTAAAAATTCACTAGTTCAGATGCCAAAAAGCTGCAATTTCTTGAGACTGTGCACAAGAGTTGTTAATTCAGCAAGCTTTTTCTTTATAGTGTAAATTGCTTTTGTAAATAAGAGCAAGGAAACTGTCTAAAATATTTAAAACAAATTATGCACTCCTTCGCACTTTAGGAATACCAATGAATATTTAGGTATATGGTAATTACCCGTCATTTAATCCATTCACTAAAATAAATGCTGCTCCTAAGAACCTCTGGCAGTGAATCATTTGCAAAATATATTCTCTGTTCCCCATCAAGACACCCAAAGTTCTCCACCTCCTGGCCACTATTGACCGTGGGCAGCTTTGTCTCCAGCCAGTGGGCATTCTGAGGTGATCCATTTGTTATTAAGGCCTGCAGGAGCTTAAGCACACTGACTGCTTCACACTTCCTAACTTTGTTTATGTTCCCATTGCCTGGAAACTTCTGTCCAGCTTTCTTGAACTGAGGTTGGTGAGTTCTCTTCCTGGACTTTGTCTTTTCTGAAGCTCTTGGTCAGACTGAATATTACTCTTGTTTCCAAGCTCTCTCTGAGTAGTAATCCTATCACTTGTCCTAGGAGAGGAACTGATTCCTGCTCATTGCTGGAATCCCCAGCACCAAACCAATTGCAGACATAGAATAGACAATGTTGAGTGAGGGAATGAAACTTAACACCACCATTTGAAACATCCTGTGCAATAAAAGTTAGCAAGACCCCACCATGATATTATTTCATAAATGAAATTGACCTTCTACCTAATTGGCCTGAATTAGTGAGCTGCATTGTACTATTAATATTGTGTTATCTACTTCATGGGGCTTTCATAATAATTCAAGGGGACAAGATATGTGAAAATAATCTGTAAAGTACTAAACACACGTGAAGTAGTTATTTAAATTTCAATTATTGAACTAAAATTACATTACTTATATAATGTTTTCTAATAGGATTATTTAAAGTTAAGGTTCTTGTAAGAATATATTCTATAGTCTGTTAAATCTATCTTGAAGCCAAGTCATTTCAGAAGCCACACAAAGGGGAATTCTGCTCAAAGCAAACAAACAAAACTACAATGAAGAATGGTGTGTATGATGTGTCTTTCACTCACAAGAGTTTATACTTCTGCTCTTGCTACCAAATGCTGCAAACACCAGGGAATTCTCCAGGACAAATCTCAGAGTGACAGTGATTAAGTACTAAGTGGACTTGAGCAAATAAATCTTCATCCAGTTGTAGTAAATTACCTTCTTGGAATTTGTAAGTATCAGTAATATCCTTCATGCCGTCTCCTTCGATTTCTTTGGTCACAATTAATTTTCCAATGTGGGTGGCATCCACAGTTTCCACCACATGTGTGCCATCTTTCTTAGCTGTGATGTAGACAAGGTCACTGTTGACCTGGAAGCAAGAGAGGAGAGTGTCAGGTGTCATCACATGTCCTTGTCACTAAAATCTTTAACTCGCCTCAGCATAGTCATCTAGAGATCCTGGAGTTGACACACTCCTTTATGCAACAGCATTGAATGTAGGGCTAAACCACTTTTATAAATGTTCTGGAGGGAAATCCAGTTTAGATTCATCATCAATATTTTGAATGGAGAATATTTTTGGACTGGGGGCCATCAGTTGTCTAAATAGCGACTGTTTTTTTTTTTTCCATTAGTCTTCCTATACGTTCCACCTCCTAAGGGAGAGCTGAGAGCATCATGCCCATTCCCTGCTGTGATTTCTTTTCAGCTGGCAGTACCTATGGGACCTACTTCTAGGAAGAAGAGGAAGTTTGGTAGGTGGCTTCTGGGAAAGATTTTTCTCCTTTACAAAAGGAGAGAGGTCCATGGGAGAGTTTGTCCTTCCCTTACTGCTTTCGATGTTTTTAAACAAAGTAAAGTATTCTTGAAGTTTCTGTCATTATCCTGGGACATCATCCTGACAGGTAACACTGCCAACAATTAGAAGATGACAGAGTAGAAAGATGAGAGGCATTTGGGGGCTTGATGATGCTATTAAATGGCTAAGTCAACCTTGGGACCAACTTACTATAGGATTTCTAATATAAGAAAAATAAACCCCCAACTGTTTTAGTGATATTAATTCTTTTACTTGCAGCCAAAAGCATCCTAATTGAAAAGCAATATTGGACTATTCAGGAGGAATTCAGGCAATTTTCTGGTGGTTCAGCAACTAAAATGTGCTATTTGTAGCATTTGGAAACAGCGTCTTGGGGCCATGTTGGCAGATCCCCAAGTTCTTCCAGGGTTCTGCTTTATCATTCTACTTTCAAAAGACAATGTCTAATCTGTGCCTGAAAGCTGATTCCCCCAGAGTCCTTTATTATATTTTTTAGAATCACTTTCTTGGGGATTTCATTTATTATCATGGAAGCAGGTAGGAAACAGAAATGCACTGCTGACAGTCATTGATGTATTTATTAAATGTTTTCAACCTCCTCTCCCAGCCTCAATCCTCCCCCTTTTAAATATGGATGTAATAACTCCTTCCTCATAGGATGATTGGCAGAATTAATTGAAATAAATGCATGTAAATTACTCACCATGATGGCTGGCATAAACAATAAATGTTATTGATAAGAATGTATTATTTAATAATATTGCCAGAGATTGTTCAAGGTTCCAGGGTCCTAATGATATGCAAGATAGATTGGGTCACTACCATTACAGAGTTTATGCTCTAGTAACACTGACTCTTGTGTCAGAATTACTTGCAGAGCTTTTTTTAAAAAACAGATGCCTGATTAAAGAGGTCTTGGGTAAGAGTCTAAGTCTATTATACATTTTAAAAGGTCCCAGATAATTCTACTGGGCACACAGGCCCAAGAACCCCTGCAATAGGGTATAATAAGTACCTGGAAAGAGTAAGTCCAAGCAAGATATTTTGAGAGCCCATGGGGAACCGTGTGTATCTGTGTGTGTGTGTGTGTGTGTGTGTGTGTATGGGAGAGATGGCTAGGAAGTAACAGCTGAGTTGAAACCTAACAGATGCATAGGGGTTAGTCAACTGAGGAATAGAGGGGAGGCAGGCTGGGATAGGCAGAGGGAGTAGCAGGTGCCATGGTGCTGACAAAGGTATCTGGAGGGCACTGGATTAGCTGCAAGTTCTGATCTTGGATGTGAACTTATAGAAAGTCATGGTAACTTCTCTGAACTTCAGTTCCCAATTCTATAAAATGAAAATGACTGGGCTATTCTGCCAATTGCACAGCAATATTTTAGGTCAGAGTGAAATAAGATCTATATGAATGTGACTTGCAAATCTAAAAACTGAGCAAAAACATAATTGTCATTCTTAGGTAAGAGGGAAATCTGGTGATATAGCCCTATCTTTTAAAGTTGAGGTTAAAGAGAGCAACTTTTCCCTCTTTTCTCACAAAATGTTCTGAGTATATATGAAGTCTTACTTCTACTAAGGAGGAGCTAGCCAACATTTATTGAATATCCACCATGTTTCAGGGACATAGTATAGAAGATTAATTTAAACCCTCAACAACAAGCCTGTGAAGTAGTACTATAACCATGTGACAGATGAGGACACCAAGTCTCAGAAGGGAGAAGCAGAGTGATTGCGGTTACATGGCTGGGACCTGATGGAGAAGAAGGCAAACTCAGATGGGCCAAAGCCGTCCCCTCAGCCTGATAGGACATCACCCTGCAGGACCATGAGCACCACCCTGAGGTGGCAAGATGGTTCTGTGCTCGGGTTCAAATTTCTGAAGGTGATAAATGTTGGCCCTGCCCCTCAGCAGAGTAAGCAGAACTCGCTAATATCAGCCACATGTTGTGAAAGGCCAGAATGTGAAACTGAATCAGGACAGGAGAGGACGGAGCAGATACCTGAGGAATATGTGTTATTTGGAGGGGGGGGAAGTTAAGGAACGTTAAGTGCACTGGCTGAGAATTTCAGCATTCCCTCTGGAGGAAACCATGCAAGCACATACATGTACCCTCCTCCACTTACAAATTATAGCAACAACCGATGATAAATGCCCTCTTCATAATAAACCTCACAACAGCTTATGGTTTTCCAAGAAGACCAGCTAAATATGAAAGTGGCTAAATCCTGGGCTCCTCTTGAGTATGGCTTAAAAAATGTATGTAGGCTAAAGTCTCAGGCCAGCCTGATAGCACCATCTCTGGTGGAGAGGGGAGAGGAGAGACACATGTACCAACTGCCCTTTGCATATGTATACTGAGGATCAGGCACAGAGGGAAAGTATTATTTTCAGTTTTAACTCTAGTATAATGATTTTCTATTTTGGATACACAGGAGAATCACTGAGTGGCTTAAATAAGTACCAGTGATAAGCCCCACTCAAGACCAATTGTCCCTCTATAGTAGAACTGCCCTTAAGTGCAAGGTGTGCTGCAAGGAATATTGGACTTAGGCTGTGTGACGGTAAGTTGTAAATCTCTCTGAGCCTACCTTCTCTGCAGGGCACAATGGTAGTTCAATAGTATTGAAAGTCCTATGTTTAGGGCTATTTTTCTCTTCTTTTGGATGGGATGGAATCTTAGTGATCAACTAGTCCTACCCTTACACTTGAAGGGGTTATCGTCATGCCAAACCTGGGCATCCATACATGAAATCTGTTGCTTTCTTTGCAACGCCTCATCCTTGCTTCTCAGACACAGGCACTTCCTACGCAGCCTCTGCCACTATCCCAGACTGGTGGCTCTGAAAAGCTGGGGTGGACAGTTAGCTGCAGGATTGCTCTCTGAAAACTTCTACTTGTGCCATTAGAGTGTGAACACATGTCCACAGCTGGCAGAACTGTGTTCTTCACTGCTGAGGACTGAAACTCACTCTTGCTTTCAGGACCCTGGACAGAGTTTCTTTTGGCTCATTTGTTCCCAAAGGGGATAACCTCAGCTACACGCTCTGCCAAGAAAGAACATGTTGTTCTCTGAGGGCAGATGGGGGCAGTGAACACCCACCTAGGCCAGACGGCCCTCCTGGTGCCAGACTCTGCTCTCATTAGTGAAGATTCAACAGATCCTACTTTAATGGACCTTATATTTTACAAGGGAGAGAAATAATAGACACTAAGGGTAGGAGGAAACAACATGGCAGACAGAAATATTTTAGGTGATGGGAGCAGTGAATAAGAGCTTCTTCAAAGAAGGCAGCAGATCAGAGACATGAGTGCAAGTGGGAACAGGGCACGTGCTCTTCCGCCACAGGAAGGGAGGGTGGTGAGGGGCTTTCTTAGTGAGAGGAACAGTATGTATAAAAGCTCTGAAACGAGAGCATGCATGGATGCTTCTAGAAGAGTAAGAAGTTCAGCATGAATGGAGTGAAATGAGAAAGGGATGAAGTAGCAGGGAAGCCAGCACCAGGTCACACAAAGTCTTGTGAAATTGTATGTTCAGTTTTATTGTAAGGGTGATGAAACTCCACTGGAAGATTTAGGGCAGGGGTATGATGTTCTATATACATTTTAAAGGATAATTCTGGAAGATTTGTGGGCAATGGACAGAAAAGGGGTAAGAGAGGAAGTGAAAGAGGAAGTAAGGAAGTGAGTCAGAGGGAGCTCAGTGCTGTGGAGAGCTCAGAGGGCAACGATGCAGATGGCAGAAGTGGTTAGATTTGTGATATTTTTTGAAGATATTTCTAGCAAGATACATCTAGAAGTTTTAGAAAAGAAGCCAAAATGCTTCCAAAATTTTATTATGCCATTTGAATGAATTATTTTTGATTCAACTAGGAGATGCCAAAAATTGGGCTGCACCTAACAAGTGGCAGCAAAATAAACAAGTTTGAATTGAGAGCACAGAATGTACAGAGAAGCATCTGCACAGGGTGTGTGCAGAGAATCGCTGGCCCAGAGCTGAAGAGGGTGTGGCTTCCGGAGCGGTGGGGTGGTTAATGTGGCCCTGGGTGTGCATAGTCACTGCTAGGGAGAGAGGCTATGAGTGTGCATGTATGAGTGCACACTGTGCATGCATCCAAGTGTGCATGTGTGTGTGTAAGTTTGGGGCAGAGCAGTATGAAGGAGGTAATAGAGCCATTTAGGAGAAATTAAGACAGAAGAGAACCACCTTCACTAAGACAAGGAGAATTGTGCATTGAGAACCCCTGAGTGCTTAGTGAACACAAGGTCCCGTAAGATGACTGCAGACATGTGTCACTGCTCTGCTGTCTCCTCACCTCTTTGGAAGCCTTTGGCTGCCATGAGTAGAGAAGCATAAAGGCAGATGGGCTTTCAGAACTGAAGGAACCACCACAGCAATGAGGGCCTGAGGGGCAAGGGGATTGGAGAAACAGAAGCTTCAAGCTCTGGCAGAAGTTTGAGAAGGTGGAGGGTAAATTTCCAAGATGAGGGAGAGGCAGAGAAGGCAGAGAGGGGCACACCCCTCTTCTGCTGGGTGCTGTTTTCTCTTAACGAGACCAAGGCCCTAGGAAAACTATGCAACAGTCAATGAATGTGATGCTGGCCCGGAAATGAGTAAGGAATGACAAGAAAGCCAGCATGCTGAGAGAAGAGAGGCCGGCTCAGAGGCACACTGCTGGGCAAGGAGGCGGGCCAGGGAAGGGAGCCACAGCCTCACATCTGAGTCACACACAGTGGCGTTAAAGTTTCATTCCATGCAACCCCCACCCTCCATGGGGTCTTACGTTAGGCCCCTTGAGGAAAGATTCCTCATACACTTCTCATCAACTCAAACATCTCTCATAAATGGCTCAGCCTTGGAGCTCAGCCCATGCCAAGGCAACAAATTGTACTCTCCGTCAGACACGCCTCTGCAGTGGGTGAGAAAGGAGTAATTATAATCTGCAGATCCTGATGACATTCATAACACCCCGATCTATATTTAATAATAGCAAAAAGCATTTGCATTAACAGCTATTAGGCAGTTAGCTTGTGGAGGGAGGTCCTCGCTCTCTCCTTCTTTGCAGCAATAAAGCATAATAAAAAGATGAACACAAGGCTTGGAGGATTTTAGAGTGATTTCTCCTTAAGAGGTTCTCGGAGCATCGTAAATTACCAGATGGCTGCCAGAGAGGTTTCTCTAAATCTTCAAATCCCAAAGTGAAATCAAGGGGATAAAAATCCAAGTCCAGTAAGCCTGGTCTCCCAAGTCATCTAGAAACTGCCAGGACAGGCACAGATGAGAGGAAGACTGTCCCTTTCGTGTATTTCAAAATTCCTATTGCATAGCTGTTGGAATACTGACACTTATTTTACTCCCTAAATATTCTCAACCCTGCCTCCTCCGTGCCCTGTTGTTGCTGTTGGTCTAGTTCAGAGCCTTCCCATCTCCTAGGATAGAGTGATGAGCCAGCCCTCTAGCTGGCTTTGCCAGCTTCATGACAACCCCTTCCAATCCATTCTAGACAAGGCTGCCAGCATCCCATTCATGTCCCTACCCAGTGGTGACAACTCTCCCTCACTTATAGGATAAGGGCAAACTTCTCAGGGAATAAGGTCCCCCATGCTGAGTTTCTTCAGCCTTCTGACACCCCCATTGTACCCCTGGTATTCTAGTGAGTCTGCATGACTCCAATACCCAAACATAGCTTTCAGATGCTAACGTCATCCCCTGTGCCTAAAACTCCTGTCCCCTGGCTTCTTTTTAACCTCTTTTGCTTAATCATTCCTCCTTCCCATGTGGTCCCATAGTCCTCTGCCTCTATTACTGAGCTACACTGACACAGGGCATCATCCTTGAGTGTTCTCAGACTTCCCCTTGTCCCCAGACAGTGTCTCGTGGTCTCTGCTGTCCTACTTCAGGTCCTGGCCCCTTTCTCAATCACTGAGTCCATACGCATAAATGCAGGCCATTTATGGTCTGCACAGCCTACCTGATAATTAGCTCTACGGCATTGCTCAGATCGTTGTTCCTTCACTTTTGGTGTGTTTGTGTAACCTGTCACTTCACATCTGGAATCAAATTTCTTAAGAACATGAGCCTCTGGATTCTCCCAACATAGTGCCTAAGATATATCTTACTACTATGTAGTAATCACAACTACAGATTCCTTGTAGCATAGTAAGTAAGGTGTGGTGGTCGCCAGCATGAGCTCCTGTGTCTGCCTGGCTTCAAATCTTAGCACTGCTATTTATTAGCTAGATGATTGTGAAAACATTACTTAACCACTCTTTGTCTCAATTTTCTTTTCTGTAAAATGGGAAGAACTGACTCGGCGCCTATAGCTCAACCGGCTAAGGTGCCAGCCACGTACGCCTAAGGTGGCGGGCTCGAATCCCCAGCCTGGACCCACCAAACAACAATGACTACTGCAACCAAAAAATAGCC